TATACCAATATACACTGAAATCTTTAAGAATTACTTATTAGTGAGTTAATTAGGTTAAACCATCAGAATCTAGTGTTAAAATGAAAAGTAGTCCTCTAGACATTAGAGATTTGGAAATTCCACATAAAATTGTTTATTTAGTTTGTTTATTTTTGAACATCAAGTCTTGTACTAAATTATTGTAGTCCTAATTTTTCAGATAAAATGTGCAGATTTAGATGTTTTTTTGTTTTTTTTTAATGTGGGGCATATAAAAGATAAACATTTTAAATGGAAGCTAAATGAACTCAGCAGGCTGTTCTTATTGTTTAGGTAATTAAACATGTGTTCAGAGCTGATCTCTTTATTCTAAAATCAGAAAGCTTTTTTAATTCAAATTCTTCCTGGATAGAAAGCAAAACGCCTTCAAACTTGAAAACCAAGTCCAGTGGATTGTTTTTAATTTTTTTGGAATTACTATAACCTGGATGACTGAGAACCTTCACCAGCATATATTCTAAAAGCCTGACCAATCTGGATCTGTGGGAGCAGAATGACTGTTACCGACCCTTTGCTCTGCATTATAATCAAATTAAGTTGATTCACACAACCTAATATGTCAGCCTATTTGCACATCAGATTCATCTTAAAAAAAAGTTATGTGAACAAGGATCAGCACCTTGATTTTTGACTGTCTTAAATGTCCATCTTGTATATTTGCTCTTTGTCAGGGGCTACAAAGCCAGGGTACTTGTAGTGAAACTGTGTATGGGGTTAACATAAAAAAACTCCATGCACCATGACCCTAAACTGAGTTTCAAGCCCAGAATGTTACAAACTGCATCCTTGAGGATATCGGTTTGAAAATTTAAAACAGAAATACAGATTTTTTATTTTATTTTGGGCCACAAGAAACATTTGCTTTATTTTTTTGTCACATTTAAAGCATATAAAAACCAAATGTGTTGCTCAGAAAATCAAACAGAGGTGTGTGTTCATTCTCTCAAAGGCTTCACAGTGGAGCAGTTGGTAGCACAGACAGTTTGAACCCTGGGATCCTTATTAGTTTTTAAATGTTCTCCCCTTTATGTTTGGGTTCCCCTCCAAGTTCTTCTGACCTTTAAAAAAAAAAAAAAAATCACAGCATTACTTTTTTACTCATTTTAATGTCAGATCCATTATTCCACCGTCATGGTGAATTATTGTCATTCATTTGTTTTTCCTTTTATTATATATTTTTCTCTCCAGCTCCATGTGTGCATTAAGATGATAGAAATCACATAACTATCTGCTGCATCAGTTTAGCTCTTAAATCTTATTGAGAACTAATGAGTAGTTATATTTTTAATCCAGGTATATGTTTAAGTTTCTAAAACATTGTAACATCTTTAAATCCCATCCAGGTATCCCTGGCATTAAATGACTGTCTGCGATTTATTTCCACAGTGGGGCAGCAGGAACGTTCCAGCAGCTTAGATCTTCTTCCACCAGACAGTAAGTTTGAGTTTAATTTGACATAAAAATAGTTTAATTTTGTGTTCAAACAATACATTGTTTAAAATATGTTTAATATAAATGCAAGAAAAAGATTGGCTTTTCAACTAAACCTTCCATTCATTGATTGCAGAAATATCTGAACTATAATTTTTTTTAAAGCTGTTAAGATTCAGACTGAGGACCCAGAAACTACCAGAACACAACAGGAAATAACTTTAAAAGATTTGAGGGAATAATGCAGGTTTTTCAGGATCAGGTGAGCCAGAGCCTCTGGAGGGGAGATAACAGGTTAGTGGCTGAGATTGATGATTTTAGGTTCAGACTGCAAAGCCACTAACCTTTCTTAATATCCAGGTGGGGTGTCTTAGTTCCAGAAAACTTTGGTTACTTGACACAGAATTTTCATTGAGGCTTGGCAGATTATCTTGGTCAAAGGAGGTCCAGGGTCAGAGCCAGGTGATCAGATTTTCAGAGAATCCAAAACAGAATCCAGGGACAAGGTCAGGGCACAGAAACAGGTCAGGGATCCAGGCGGCACAAAAAACAGATCCAACAAGGGCTAGGCAGGCTCAAAAAAATCAGGAGGCAGAAACAGGTCAGGATCAGGTAGACAGACAGAAAAATGCTGGATGCTTACTAGCCAAGGCTTTCAAGCAATCTGGCACGGTCAACTAGACAGAGGCCTGCTTAAGAAGGCTGGCAAACAGGTGAGAAGAATCAGTGGCAATTAGGCTGAGCAGTGGCAGCACAGAGCAGAAGGGGGAGGGGAATTAAAACAAATACTAGTTGACAGGCCAGAAACATAACAAAAGCGATTCATCAGTTAATTTATTTCAATTGTTGGAAAAAATTAAAAGGATTTTCTCAGCATTCTAATTTAAATTGCAGCTTTATGAAGTTGGATGCTTTGGGTGTCATTGTTACCCCAGAAGCTGTGATGTGTTTGTAGTAGTTTTTCCTCTGAGAACTGCTCTTGTTTATTAGCAAACCCTCTTATGTTGACTTCAAGGTTAGGAGACCATGATTCGTCAGGACCCAACCTTTGGTCTCTAGACCCTCCTCCTCCTGCAGACAGGACTAGAGGATAGATTTGTAGATTAATCTGTTACCTGAACTTCTACAGATGAAGTCCAGATCTTATCAGTCCACCTTCCTGTAGAGCTTCCATAATAAGTAGAAGCAGTTCAGAAGTCACAGCCTTTTTTCAATCTTCAGGTGGAGTATTGGTAATAATGTTAAGTCAGTCTGCTTAACACACCATCAAACTTTTTGTCACTGATTAGTATTTTGAGCTTCTCAATCATATTATCACTTTCAAAACAAAAACAACTGTCAGCAAGGACAAACTTTGTCAAACATCATGTGATCCTAACGAGTTTCAGGGGAAATTCGAATATGAGTGTTTCTGCTTGTCGAGGTGCTAAATATGCAACCCTTGACCCCCTAGCCAGGGGAGGTACGGTAAGTGTTTTTATCTAAGTATAGTTGAGAATTGGTTTATAATATTTTTCTTATGTGATCTAACATAGAAATACACTGAAAGTCACTCATGACAGGCATCCACTGATTCCTTCACAGCAGATATTTATTCACACAGCTCATCCGAATAGGTTATCCTGCAGATTAGAGGTTATGGAACAGACCAGAAAACAAATTAAGTG